TCTATGGCCCCGTTTGGTAGAGCCGTGGGAAAATGATTATAACTTATAGCCTAACAGCTTATAGCTTATAGCTGTGAACATAACGTGATTTTTGACTTACAAAAAGCTATAAGCTGTACTGTTAAGCTGAACCAAACACATCAAAATAACATAAGTTAAGTTAAAAACTGAAATAAGCTTGAAATAAGCTCTACCAAACATGGCCTATACCTGAAATAACTTTTCATTTTAGCAGTGACCTGTTGTGATACAGAATAGAGCCACATAGAGCAACATTAGCGTGCCATATGTGTTAACAAAGAGCTCTAAGAGCTGCTATGCTTTGGGAAGTGGGGAGACCAAGCCAAGTGGCGAGGACGTGTCACTATACAGTATATACTCGATGCCAGGATAAACCAGGTGTCACCTAAATCCATGCATGAAGAAGTAACAGTGCCACATACACGTGTATGTGAGTCCACATATATGTGACGTTATATATGCATGACGATATAAATTCCCTACATGCTCGACACGTGCCCTGTCCCAATCAAGGGAAGGGTCGTTTATGTCCTATTTTTTTTAATTTTTTTTTGTACCAAAGTCATTTATGTCCTATGATAAGATTTTTAAGCTGCGCACACGTGTCAAATTACTATTGGGTTTAGTATAAGGTCTAACTCAGCAAATATCAGAGTTTGATTTCAGTTATTTGAATTCAATTTTTTTAAATTGAATTTTTTATTTTTCATATTTTTTTTTATTTTTAATGAATATTTTTAAATTTTTAAATATTTTTTTTACTTTTTTAAATGTACCTTATTTAGATACATTTAAAAAGTAAAAAAATACATAAAAATATGAAAAATATAATAAATTCTCGTATTTTTTATATTTTTGGTATTTAGTGAATTTTTAAAAGATTTTTCCACAAAAATTATACTTTTTATGTGTATTTATGTTAGGTATGTCTAAAAATAAAAAAAAAATTACTTAAAATATTTAAAAAATTCAGTAAAAACAAAAAATATAGAAAACAAAAAAATAAAATTTAACAAGGAAGCTATTTTGAAAATTTTACTTACAAACCTCATGATTAGAAATTCCGTTTAGTTCAAAGATTTTCTTCTAGTTGGTTTTAGAAAATTATATTTAATATATTATTTAAAAATTAAATTTACGATTAGATTATTATTTCTATTATCTTTTTTCTTTTTTGTGCTAAAAAGATAAGATATACAATCTATAAGAATCAAATTTTGGATAAATTTTTATATGAGAATGTCACGACCCCATTCCGCCCCTAGTAGAATGGTGCCATGATAGCCAGTAATCCGAGATTACCAAAGGCCGACTTACAAAGTCACACACAATCAGAGTATACATATAGGGCTCACGAGTGCGGAAGTAATAAATTTAAATCTAAATAGTCCATAAGAGCTGTGCATAGATCAAATGAAATGTCATACATAACGTGGTTTTACAACTTGAGTACAAATAAAACAAATACATATTACATCTTAATCAAAAGGTTTCTCAAGCCGACATATACAAAACGAACTACAATGGCCAAGCCAAGAAACATAATCTTCAAGATGCTACAAAATACGAATCCAAACAACATGCAAATAATCATCTAGGTGTCACCGCCTTCTTGCTCATCACCTACATATATATAGAGAGAGGGTGAGTTTGGATACTCAGTGAATGATATTAGTAATAAAGATTTAAATGAATGACATCCGAGATCTTTATCAAAACAATACATATCATAGCTTGTACAAATCAAGAGATGAACCAAGTTCATCTATCAAATCTTTCAAAGCTTCAAGGGATGCTTACTAGTATCAATATAATACAGGGGATGACATTCCAGACAAACCCACACGGTAAACTGTCGGTGGCAAGACAAAGGAGATATCTCAACAAGAGTGCTAGTTGCATTATAGTCCCCTAGCACTAAGAACTTTCAAAACAAGGGTACTAGTTACATTATAGTCCCCTAGCACTAAGGACTTTCCAAGAATGTCATCAAAACAAATATAATACTTGATACAAAACTAGGGATAGTCATTCATGCTTGATCAAATACTTTTTCAAAACGAAGCAAAGCTTTATCAAAACTTTATAACATAGCTTTATTAAAAATACCACTCACATAGCTCTTCGAATGTAGGGATTACAAGCAACGATCCAAGGCCTACAAGCACATAATAAATCCTATTGAATGCATTTCAAGAAGACAAGAAAAGATGCTCAAAGATGGATATGAAATGCATTCCTAAAACAAGTTTTGCATGAGTGTAAATGATCTCGGCATTTCTTTCAAAACTAAGTCAAGACAAAGCAAAACGTGTGCTGGGAGTTAAATCACTGTTTCTCATCTCGGGAAAACATGCTGGGCACCAACCAGGTCTTGGCCGAGATCCCACACCTCTTGGCCGAGTTGTGGTTCCGATGACCATATTCAAGGAAATGAAGTCGGGAAAATCTGGGTTTCCCTTTGAGGAACACGAAGAACATGAACATAAAGAACATGAATACTAAAATCTTAACTTGTTATTACAAAATCTGAGATTTCATGAGATGAGTTAAAAAACATGGACTTGGGTACCCATACTTGAAGATCTTATGAAAACAAACACAAAAACATGGATCTTGATACAAACTTTCGGATCAAAACATGATTTTATTTCAAGAACACGAGAACATCATTTTCTCTTTCTAAAACAAACTTCAAATCAATGCATGGCTCATGAATCATGATAGATCATGCAATGTAGTTAGATAAACATAAAGAATAACAAGAGCACATAAAGATTCTAACCTCAAAGCACCGATCTAACGGTTCAAGGTGTGAAGATCAAGCTTGGAAATCTATTCTCACTCTAAGAACTCTTCTTCCTCTCTTCCTAGAGCTTCTCTCTTTTCCTAGAACAAGATATAACAAAATGATGTAGGTTTCTCTACTGCCAGCAGACTTAACCCTCTGCTGGGACACGTGGCAACGGCTGGTTGGCTATCCTCAAAAGGTGACTGACTAACAAGACAAGAGCATGACAAAGTGTATACAACAAGCAAGGTGACATGGGCACTCTGGTAGGTAATGATCTCAGGTTAGAACAAAGGCTTCGGCAAGTAAGGTCTCAATGATCTCGGCTATGAAGGATAACATTTGGCCTAGCTGTGCCACACTTCAGCCTAGATGTGCCACACCTCGGTCTAGGTCATACCAGTCTCGGCACAAGGTCACTAGGTGCAAGGTTCAAGGATGTCGGATGCCTAAATGATAGCATCTCGGCCTAAATGATGACATCTCGGCCAAAACGCCAGGGTGAAGATGGAGGTCAACCAAAGTGGTTCTAAGATGGTCCTAGGTGTAAGAGGTTTGAAGGTGTGACCTAGGCTTAAGATGACCTCGGCTTAACACACACCAAGCGAGAAACAAAACATGCAAACAACACTCAGACAAAACAAATTAAGGTCTGTAAATACAACTTAACAAAACAAATTCATGTGTATGCATGTGAGCACGACCAAGATGAAGCGAGGGTTGTTACAGAGAATCTTTTTATTTGGAAAATATTTCAAAATGAGTATAAAAATTACTTAAAATATGAGATTCTTTAAACATTTCAAAAAGAGTATAAAAACTCCTTAGTAAATTTTAGGCAAATGTATAATTTCAAACTATAACACTTCAATCTAACACTCTAACATAACACACAAAAAAAACTTCTTAGTATATTTTTTCCAAATGTAACACTCCTATATAACACTCTAAAAAAACTCCTTGGTATAACACTAAAGATTTTAGCCTCTTTTAGGCTAAAATCCACAAAAAGACAAAATAGGTTAAAATAGTCAATAAGACAAAATATCACATCAAACCCATAATCATTTCACTTTTTCTCTCACAAACATCACATTCAACTATAAAAAAATTCAATCATCTTCCCAAACACAAAAATTTTATCCTACTAACATAGTCAAAAACTAAAATAGTTTACTAAAATAGCAACTTCCCAAACACTCACAATATAACACACAAAAAACTTCTTAATGTATTTTTTTTTTTTTCAAATATAACACTTTAATATGACACTCCAAAAAAATGATGTGAGATTTTTCAAACCATTCCAAAAAGAGTACAAAATTTTCTTAGTAAGTTTTAGGCAAATGTATAATTTCAAATCGTAAGTGTTATGTTTGGGAAAAGT